CGACTTTAGATGGAACGGGGGCGGGGGGGGGGAAATCATTTAAATTATACATGCTATGACATGAAGCATTGCATTGACAATGAGGCAAGGGGGGAAAAAGGTCAGCATTTAGCTTAATTTATCTCTTAGGGGATTATACATCACTCACATCTTCCATTCTGCCACCAAGTAATCTAAAAAATTCTGGCATGAATGCTAATGAGTATCACAAGATTTATTTTGTTGGATGCCATGGGACAGAGCTGAAGACACTCAGAAAAGGAAATGAATTTTCTCAGCAGCGGTAGAGGGAAAAGTCCCTTTCCAAAGATTGCTGCTTCAGATTCATAGCAAGGTTTTAACAAGCTCAGGGGGCTTTGAATTCTTTATAGAAAATTCCAAATGAGCCTCATAAATGGCCTCAGCATTTCAGAGTCATGAGCTGGTTTTGTGTAAAGCTGAGGCCAGTAAAGATGCTGATTTTTTTTTAAAAAAAAATTGGAGTGTGAGGAGGTCTTACAGCTGCGATACTGTTGAGTTTTCCAAACATCTACCTCACCCTTGGAGAAAGGACGACCCTAAAATTTCTGAGCACCAGAACATACAAGCAACTGATATCTAGAGAATGTAGTTTCTAGTCTTGATAACAGTAGGTTTCCATTGTCATGTGCAATCCTATTCAGAGGAAGATAAGTCAGAGAAGAGTAGTTCCCTTTGGTTCTAAAGGAAATAGTTTGGCTACATAGATAGCTTTTTATGAAGATGTAAACAAGATCCTCAGTCAGGAACAACATAATTCCAGTTCCTTATTAATTGGGTTCACACCTCATGGCAATCCATCTTTTGTTTTAACCAGTTTGTTGCACAAGCCACACAGGTTGGATCCACATCCTGAAATGAACCATAATTTGGTTTTGGCTTAGTGTGGCACGTGAACCCAACTCCTTGGTCTGCTTCTTTGAAAAGAAAGATAGCTGTTTAATAATAAGTTTTCTCCAGCATCCGTTTGCTCAGCTCTTCAAAGTTTTGGGTACTCCTGAAGGCCAGGGAATCTTTGCCACAAATTTATTAATTGCACTGGCTTTTCCAAATGGGGATGTTCATTTGGCTGATAAATTCATTCAGGCATCCTGTTACTGAACCACTGCCAAGTCTGAAAAACATTGTGGTGAGAGGATTTCTCTTCATCCTGGCTCTTCTGGACTCCAGACGCAATGGAAGAATCTCTTCCTGTTTACGTCAGAGGTAGGCAACATGTAGAATTTTGAGGCCCCATCATGGATACATTTACAAATGGTGTCAGGGTGACATCATTTTACCACAAGACAAAGTGGTGAGATCACTTCTCATCAATTCTTTACCCAGGAAAAATATTCCCTGGCCACCCAACTTTCCTTTGTATAATAATTATGTTTCATGAAACAGAATCCTTTTCTTTTTCTCCTCCCCTTATTTTCTATCTCTTCTTTCATTTTTACTTGTGAACCCAGCATAACAGACTACCCCAACATATTTTCTTCATCTGCCCATCCCATGTGTTCCACAGAGGGGGCATGAAACTTTCTGGTGCTTTGGGGGGATCAACATACCCTATTCAACTCGAAAGAGGAATGGATTTTTCCTTGGCTGGTACCTGGTTAATTGTAATCATGTTGATCTGACCAGATCACAGACATTGTTACATCATGATCAGTAGAATGGGGGAGTCTATGCCTTTATCATAATCAGTACGTGAGCTGTGTATATGAGCTTTTGGGGAATATATTTTGGACAGATTATTGTAGTTATTTTGGGGTATATAAGGACCTCTTTGAGATGTAACCAGGGCTTGCTGCTCCTGAGCCGAGCAGTGGAATTGTCTCAATGCATACAATTTCTATACTTTTTGTCTATAAATATCTGTAAGAATGGAACACCTGCACAGAGCATAAGATCTTAGCATAACTATAATAAAAGGCAGGGTGATGATGATTCAGTATAATTTTAATAAACTGGCCTACCTTAGTTGTGTTAATTTCTGTCTCCTTAAGCATATCAACATTCAGCAAACATATATAGAACTCACTCCTATTTTCTGAAGTCATGGTTTCTAGCCAAGTCCACAAATGATGGATAGTCTTATTCATCAGTTGTGCACTTGGCTAGAAACGATGATTTCAGAAAACTAGGGAGTTTTACATAATTCCTGCACTAGAGAATGACATTTCCAGTCCTCCAAGTTTTCCATTCCCCATAACATTAAAAAAAAAAGATTCCCATGATCTATGAAATATCTGTTCATAGGATATTTATTTTGTTTCAAGTATTGTAATCATTTCTTCATGCCAATCGTTAAAATGGCAGATACTATAAAATTTGGCTTGGCATAATAGCAGAAAATGTATGTGCTTGTTTAAGGATTTGCTACTGCCCTTGTTTACATCAATTTCCTCTTTCCTATCTTTGTACAAGAGCTTTTTAGAATAAAGTTTCCATTATCCCTGAATTATCTGATTTAATAATGTTGGACTAGTTTATGTCAGGGCAATTGCTTTACAAGCATGGTCATAACTAATAAATATATGATGGCCACACTTCCGGAATGATAACAAGAAATCTAATTATCTGCTGGCCTGAAAATCTTGTTTATAAATTAGCAGTTTTATTCAGCAAAAGACACCGATAGGTATTTATGGCTACAGCATCAGACAGTAGAGTTCATGAATAGAAAAGGAATATTAGTTGCTACTTTTCCTGTGGAGAACTTAACAAAGGGACTGCCAAAAGATTTAGTTAAATACACAAAGCACTATTTTAAATAGAGATTTACTGGCAAAAGTGCTATGTTGGCTATATCATAACTACTGATGAGTCCTGATTAACAAGACTGTTGGAGTCTTGTACTCACGTTGCTCAGTAACTTCCTTCCTTCCTTCCTTCCTTCCTTCCTTCCTTCCTTCCT